GTGTTGCGGCCCAAAGCAATAATCTCTCGAACATGTTATCCCTAAAAGGAAATGTTCATTCCCTTTCTATAAGAAAAAAACCACGTTCTGCCCAAAAAAATTAGTAATAATGAGAATTATAAAGAATGCGTTTTGTAATTTCTTTACGCTTGGAAATTTGGAGTGAATCTCACAATTGTAGGTGCCAAACTATAAAACTAGTTGTATTTTTAATTTTCATATTTGTTGTTCTCAATACAGTGGTCCTAAACTCCGCTTGGATAGCTTATACGAAACCATCTGGCTTTGCTCTGTGTTCATCTTATTGCTATAAAAAAAATTTTTTAAAAAATTTTTAAAAAAACGTTTTGCTGACTATATCTTTTAGAGCAGAATCTCTGTTCAAAATAAAGAATTCATAATGCTAACAAAATTATAAAAATCAAATGACAGCTTACGAAAATAATGAAGTTTGTGCCATATTTCAAAAAATGTGACTAAAGAAAGGTGGTTAAAATAAAATAACTAAATTTTCATTGCTACCACACAACAACACAAACTTGAGTCCAAAAATTCGTTATGCTGAAAATTATTATAATATAGAATGTCCTGTTAGAAATTGAAGGAGTCGGCGTAAATGATGATAGCCTATGCTTCCAAAATTGATTTTTTGGCTCCTGTAACCCATGTAAAAAAATGTAACCACTCAATTCATTCAATTTAAGCTACGTAGGCAACGTTCCTGTTTGCCATTCTGTAGGTAACACACTTAACTCCTACCAGCAAAATGTTCCCGCAATATCTAAAATATTTGCATATGATTATCGTGTCTACAACTTCAATTCCTTTAATTCATGAATTTCTGCAACTTGCAAAAATTATCAGCGATACCCCACACTGCCAGTACAGAAATCACATTTCAAAAGTCTTGTAGCTACTTGCAATTCACAAACAATGAATTATTGACTGAAAATTCAAATAAACAGATCGCTAATTAACACGAGAGACATCAAACGAACGAAATTTATTTATGTATTTTTATAAATCGTAATAACATACAAAAGACTCCTTTCATCGATTATTATAATAGCATGTAGACTAATTTAAATTTTCATATGCGAGTAAGAAAATCTGACTCCTGCTCAACTGAACACATGGAATTCCCACGAATCATAAAAGTTTTACTATTAAGTGCCAAGTACCTAAAATACGAACATAGTTTTGTTGCCGAACAATACTGTAAGTTTGAATAAATACATGAATAAAAGTCTATTATCCGTTGGTTGGCGTAACTACGTCCTGATAATCAAAAGAGAAGGTTAATTAGAGGACCCTTCCCAAGAAATTTCTTAATGTAAATCTGTTGTAATAAAAAATTGTGTACAATAATCGTGTAATAAATCTGTGTAAAAATAGATTATATATAGTACCTTACGCAATGTTCAAACCTGAAAAGGCTCGAGCAAGAACTACATAATAAAAATATTAAACAAATTTAAATTAAAAAAACAACTAGGAGAGTCTCACATTAGTTTATCTTATGGCCCAGAACATTCAAGATAGCGATAAGGAACACAATGTTCCTTTTAATGAGACAATTCTCCAGGAATGTAAATTAAATTGCGCATTGATCCTTGCGCAATCTATACCGCAACGAAAATAAAAATCGGATTGAATCGCTACCAGAAACAAAATTGAGTTTATGTTGCAAAGGAAAACAATTAAATATCATTTATATTCACAAAGCCGACCCTCAGATATAAGTTCAAATAACTTTTTAGCCGTTTCGAAAAAAACTGATGCTAAGTTTTATCTACCACTTATTCAGAAACGTCTCTCCGCTTGCAGGAAATTTTATTTTAGAGGCTATTTGTTCACAAATTGCCCGACGAGTATGCTCTATCTCGTACAAAAATAAGATTGACCTTATCTTAATTAACAGAATTTCCTTCGATTTGTTCATCTGGAATCTTCTCAATCAGAAGATCATATGTTATTATAAAATTCGCGTTCGATGACCTCCTTTCATCTAAAGCGAATGATATAATTTGCACTTTTGCCAGCAGAACATTAAACATTGTGAAATATTATGCAGGTCGTACTGACACTTCTCTGCATTAAGATTTTGTACTGCATTGGGTACGATGATATTTAATCTCGTGAAGATTTCATAATTGAAGAGTTAAGGAGTAAGGCACAGAGATATTTTTACCAACACCCTGCTCTAGAAATAACCAACACCTTCTCTCGCATCTAGCGAGAAGATGGCTCAAGCAAAACGTCGCGGTTAAGGTTTCAAAGAACAAAACTTCACTTCAGAATTAAAGCGTAAATGCAAAAGAACCGCCAACAGAAAATTTGCACTGTGCAAAAGACGAGGGAAGGAAAGGATTGCGCGCATTCCGCCGCCCTTTTGGGAGGTACTGCTCGGCATCGCCGGGTTTATCGGAGAAACCACAGAATTCGATCTAGTCATCGGCCCTTTTAGCGTCGAAATTCCGCACCAGCCCGAACCCCGAGGCACGACCTCTTGGTAGAGCCGCAATGAGCTTGCCGACCACTTTTCGAAAGGAAGTGAATTTTGTTTTAACTATTACACGAACGAGGCTCTGTAGAATATGGGTGAATTATCATTGCCAGTTGGCGGTCTCAGAATGACACCTCTATCACTCCTAATTTTACAGAACTTTTAAACTTGAGGTTCTGCAAAATGCTATTTCACTTTTGTTTCATTAAGTATTCTAGAACATAATTTGAAAACTGATTTAATATCATGTTATAGATCGCCAATGAATCATGTCAAAACATCATTTTCGCCAAACACGCCAAACAGAAAACCTTCTGATTTGAGACAGTTACTTTGCTGCTTTGGAAAACACTCTGAATAAAAAAAAGATCCACTTCCCTGTTTTTTCATAGCCAATAATTTTAGATTCACCTCAAATGAAAGTATTAAACACACAAATGCCTCAAATACAGAATCGACGAGCGTCGGTGCTGTCCTCACTAAAAAGGATCGGCATACTCAAATAAAACTTCGAAGTTTAAAAGTTCCACATTCAAAAACCAAAAACATCGATGATAATATATTCCTCCAAAAATAATCGATGAATTTAAACGTCAGTGTGGTTTATTTTGCTCTAATAAAGTACAATCGTGAGATAATTTGACGGTGGTCGTATTTATAATTTAAAATTGATATCTGACAAAAAATCAAAAAAAGCCGGTCAAAACAAGAACAAAAATTTATAAAATTGGGAAATACAAAAAACAAGTTAAATACACTTATCGGCAAAAAGACTAAATTTTTCACCCTTTGTCACTATGCATCTAGAATATATGAATATCTGCAAATTATGTATTGAATTTTTTGTTATAGTACTCATTTATTTCTAAAATGAAACAAAAAAAACAGCGACGTATGAAAAACAGCGAAAATGAATGAGGTTTAAAAAACCTCAGCACCATACATAATTTCTTTAATTAAAAAAAGCGATTGGTGTTGCATGTACTGTGTTAGCCCTACCGCAGGCGGCAAACAAGTGCGGCGGTGCAGCCGCCGACGCCACGATTTGCAATGCGCAAAAGTCCCTCGCCCCCGCCCCCTCCCCCGCCTCGGCGAGACGCAACAGGGCAAACAATCCCCCCACGCGCCCCTGCCCACGTGCCACGCCGGACGCGCGCCACCGCCTCCACCACCAACTCGGCGCTCACTCACCCGTCTAGTCCAGCTCTACGTAAAACACAGACTCTGCACACATGCCCCCCTGGAACCGCCGCCTTACCACGGCCGAGCTCCTCGACTAGCTGCTCAGTTACGCTACTATCGAAGAGAAAAAAAAGTGAAGGGGCTGCGCCGCATTATCGGCCGCGGGAGATAAACGTGTACACAATACCGACAGCTCCGGTACTGTATTCTCCACCTAACCTTGATCGCCCACAATCGCGTTTCCATCGTTTGAGCGAAGACGTCCAAAGCGGTGACACCGATGCGTTGCTGCCCCGACACGGCGTAGGTGGGTGCAAGCCCCGGATAGCTCCCCCGCGCATCTCCAAAGATCTCTCCGACGTAATATTCTCGATGCATCGTGAAAAGATTCACGGATGTCGCTACTTACGTGAGTTGGTACAACGAAGTGTTGATCCTTCACGCCAAAGGCCAGAAAGCACGAGACTTTCAGGACGTATGCAAGTTCCTACATGCTCCTGATTACCTCACTCAAGAAATGAACACGAGACGTTTACGTCTGGGTGTCACGAGAAGGAGGGTCTACAGAACTGACTCCAACAGGCCTCGAGACATCGTGTCTGTGTTGAGAGCGATCAGTGCGAACGCAAAATCGGACACCGCACTATGTACAAACAAATGAAACACAAGCTCGCTGTTGTCCTACAAAATAGAAAAGATCGTGACGCCCTCCACCAGGCACACGCACAAACCACGTGGAGTAACACATTTTTATGGCGGATCTTCTCATCATGGAACGTCATAGAAGACCAGAATCTCATGAGATGGTCAGGTAACAGCAATAGTCGTAATGAATGATTTGTACGGGCGCGACTGACATTCTGCCACCTGTCACTGACAAATCAAGTTGGACCACACAAGTCATTCCGATTGTAGGCTTTGATAATTAGGTGCAACTTGAAGGAGTGAATAAAAATAAACTTCCCCTAGAAATAATACATAATTCATGAAGTTTATTGCAGCCGCAACCTACTTTGAGACTTCTTATCTCCATGATAACAGCAGCACCTTAAGAATGAACGTTTTACTCACCTGACTGCATTCCGAGGAAGAATTATCCATGAAGGTATTCCTCACGAAATTCACCTTTACATACAAACTATCCACGAAACACTTATTGTAAGCGAAGAAATTACACCAAACAACGAAATACAACTTCAACACGCCGCGGAATGCAAGTTTTTCGAGGCCCTTCTCACGATTGTAACTAATACACGCATTAAGACCCTCATATAAATTCACGAAAAACCACATTAACAGCGCAGAAAAGGCACTAATAAAAACAACACTTGACAAAGTAGTACTCCACCACACAACCAAACAAGTGTCAAGCCATTCTTGCGAACAGTTTCTCCACCCACCAATAAAAATTCCTCGACCCGCTTTCCGCCATTAAAAATAGTTTCCCATTCAAATAAGCAACATTTTTTAAATGATATTTCTTACCTTGTGGAAAATATTCTCATAGAATTGCGGAAGGTCGAAAAAAGTCAAACTTATATATAATCAATGACATCATAGTTACAAACTATTAATTATATGACACTTCCAAGATACTCCGCCTAAGCAAGATCACGGCGCGAGTTAGCCTGTGCTGTGTGATATGAAGATCGATAACTCCCACCTCAGTAATAATTCGATTCTTTTTGGCGAAATATTTGAATCAGGCTTTTCCTTTTTCCTCGCTGTTTGAAGTCTACTTTTATTGCTAAAGGCAAATTAAATACAATGCCTTAAATTTTTAATTTGACAATTTTTCATGCTGAATAGCTTCATGAAACAATTCAATTATAGTTCACATTGATTAAATTTTCTGTAAAAAATATTTTAATTTATTGATCTTTATAACAAAAATATTCAAAACGAAAATGTGGCCAACTACATATTTATTACAAATTTACAAGGAGACCTACCGATCAATGTGAACATTTTATATCCTTGCTTTCAAAACACCTTCAAAACAACACACATTCTCAGCAAATGTTGAAAACAAAACCTTGCAACGTTGTACTAGAAAAAGTGTTTTCTCTGCAAGAAACAGTCCTTTTAAATTTTTATATAGCAGTGTTGTAATTAATTTATACAATCGAGATAAATAAGATAAGCATGTTTTTAGTTTTTACAACAGTTGTTTGAAGAAATTAAAAAATATGCTTATCTTTATTTTTCTTGACATTTATAAATTATTATAAAACTGCTGGCTAAAATTTTACAGGACCTGTCTTAAAGAAAAAAGACAAAAAACAGTAAGACAGTAATCAATTGTAATAAAACTAAAAAAAGGATGTGAACATCACGATATAAAAAGAAAGGAATAAAAGGAAAATGTTGGCTAAAACATTGATTTCAAGTGAATGAATACTTTCGTAGGATCATTTATAACGAAAAAGTAAAGAAATAATACCTAAAACTTGAATTAAGTAGAAATATATGAATAAAGAAAGATAATAAAAAAAGTAATAACCAAAATATGGAAGACAAAGAAACATTCAAGTATAATATTAATACACAATTTTAAAGTTAATCAAAAAACATTGTTTCAAAAACTTTAAATAGAAAAATTAAAAACATTAAATATTCCATTCAACATACAATATCACAGTTTTTCAGAGTTATTTTCACATAAATTCTTTTAAACTTATGAAAACGCTAGCAATGTTAATTGTTTCTTCCTTAATCAAATTCAGTACTGTTAAATTAGCTCCATATACATTTGCCATAATTTTTTGTGTATTCTCACAATTTTCCATAGCTGGCTTCCAAGGTCTTCCTTTAATGATAAAGCCAATCTGAAAACAAAACATGCAACTAAGAACAAAAGGAATCTCTTTTCATTAATCATGATTCAAGCAAATTTAACCAAAACATTGTGTAAAGAACATGCAGATAAACCAAAGAGTTCCAAAAAACAGATTTTCACTTTCAAAATTTTTCTAATTTCTTTTATGTAAATGGGGAATGGGAGTAAACAAAAATTATGTGATATTTCTAACCTCCTTTTGTAATGTGTACATGAAACATAATTATGTATCAATGAAAACACAAAGGAAATCGTTTAACAAAATCAGGCCTCTAATGAACATTTTTTATAATCTGATGACTTTTGTCAAATTATATAAATACAGAAATAAAATTAAGAAAATATGAATCATGTATATCACCAAACAATATAAATATTATAATGTAAAATACAAAATACACAATTCAGTAAAAAAGCTTCTGCCGAAAACTCCAAATTGTCAGAACGACACATTTACCCTCCTAGACATTCAGTGACAGGTTATTTCGGGTATATTTGCATAAGTCACCATGAAAAAGTAGCTTTATTTTTAGACAATTGTGAGACTAAAAATTCAATTCTTTGATAAACAGTGGGCAATCATATTCCACGTTTTACCAACTTAATCACAAACAAGAATTCATTAAGTTATGAGAGACGAAATAAGGCATGTTTAGGGTGGAAGATATGAGACGATAAACAAGACAATCGTTAAGGACCAAATGCCTAAACATGTTTGCAGCAATTCTGAAGAACTTGTTGCTGACAGATTCAATTAGGCAATAAATGTTAAATACAGAGAATCAGATCACAAGACGCAAATTTTAATAATTACTCCATAATAAAAATAGACTATTGTTTAATAACATTTAAGCACAGCCTACCTATGTAAAAGGCTAAAAAGAAATCCACATCTTCCAGAGACGAGCTAGCACCAATCGCTGAAATATATAGTAAACCATTACAACATCACAAGTCTGTGAATTCACTTCGGAATTCCACCCATTGCACGTACTAGCTTACGTGCTGAGATAAGTCATCATTAGCTGGAAAAATTATAAAAGTTTTATACACTGATATTGAATAAGCATACTCAGTAGTAAGTTATCGAACAACCTAAAACAAAACAATTACGTTAACCATTGCAAAATTCAGTTCAAACCACAGTTAAACCACTACAATAACTCACTTTCATTTTATCTACTTATATATAAACTTACACAATATTAATACCACAGACCAACTTTTTCATTAAAATTAAAAGAATTAGGTTAAATTTACATATTGAAATACCCTGTAATAAATCTTGAATTTTTCAAGGAGAAGTAGAAATTCAAAAATAAATTAAAAATTAGTAGAGATAAAAAATACAAAGAATAATCAAATGCAAAATAATACATCTATCCTAACAATCACTTCATTGAACTGCCCATGATCTTGGTTTTATGATAACCAAGCATTTAATACCAAGGAATTGACAATTACGAGTAGTAAGGCAGTTAGTCATCGATAGATAAGATGACAAAGCAAAATAATAAAGAAATGTACTTAAAATATTTTTGACAAGAGTTGCGAAATTATGCACAGTTATATTAAAACAATTACAGTTATGAAACAGCTGAGGAAAATACTCAAAACACCAAAAATAATAGCTAACAATGGTGAATCAAATTGTGAGCTCAGCACCCAGTCACTACTCAACCAGCCTCACGTTCTTTTGACATTGAAATAAGTGCTTCCTATTCATCACTGTGTTACGAAAATATAGGCCGTTGACAGTTTCCAGCTGTGCTTTGGTGAAAACACCATTCAGTAGAATTGATGTTTTAAGTGTGCCCTGATTCTTGAATCATTTACTGAATTATATGTACAAGGGTGTCTAGTTATTGTAAAGCACTCTGGAAAATTTTAATATTGATATCGATCCAGGTAAAAAGAGGTTCACAAAATTTGCAAGAGAAGCTTTTGATGTGCAGAAGGGATCCCAGCCTTTTATGAAGTCTGAGATTTATTTGAATACATTAACTTTTGCAAAGAACAGTAAAAAACTGTATAAGATGTTATGTGAAAGAAGCATAATCGCGACATTGCTTTCTTCGCTCAACAATCTCTTTCCCACCTTTTACTACATAGTTAAATATGAATAAAAGTATTAACAAATCGACAAACCAAAACATTGTTTATGATAAAGTCAACAATCCACAGCAGCATTACCTTACAAATGACTCATACCAACAAACCTTCGATTCACATTAGTGACCTTGCATTAATTATTTACCAAAAAAAGAAAATCTAGGAGTGGTCAACAGAAATGCCTCAGGGCAGCTAAATACAGAAATCACCATTGAGAGAAAATGATAACTTTGTAAATAGAATATTCTCATGGGAACACACACAAATAGAATTACTGGTCCAGAGTTTAATACTCACTACTTCCACAGTGTGTGTTAAAATAGGTATTGGTTTGAATCTTCCCTAGTTATTTTGGTTCCACCCACTGGACTACCAACATGATCACAACTGCAGCAGTCCTTCCCACTTTACTGAAGCTCTTATTCTTTTGAATCAGTTCATTGTCCACAACTTTCTTTTTTGAACAATTTTATAACATTTACAGCAGATTCTCTTTTTTTCCAATTTTTACCCACAAGTAAGCCATCACCCTTCCAACTGGAATATTTGAAACTTCTGCACACTGTTTGATATTTTGTGGATTTCTATGCGTTACTAGGTGATTTGACATTGTTACTTTCTGTTCCTATTCTCTCCCTCCACAGATTCGATTCTCTTCAGAATTTCTCTTGTTTTCTTCAGTCCCAGAATTTTGTAAGCACTGAGGACTTTGCTGACCCACTGTAGCTGAATTGCACTAATCGATTCATTTGTATTCCAAACATCTCGCAGAGCGCTGGTAAATCTCAGTTGCCTCTCCAAAAGCAACTGCTTGCCTCTGCATACAAACACAAAACATTTACACAATTCACACAGAAAATAGAGCTGTAGTAACTATTACTAAAACAATTCAATAATTAAATCTGAAAAATGTTGCATAAAAACATTACCCAATTTACAGATTTAAAAGCAGCGACAATACTATCATAGCAAATTCATTAGTGCTTGATGAATTAAGAAAAGATTTCCCAAAACGCTGAACGAGGATTATGTATAGACTACTTAACATATGAAGTTTCATAAACAGATGAAGAAAATGAAAGCAACAGAAAGGAGAAGACAGGAAAAGAAAAAAAACATATTGAGGAATAGGAATTTGGAGGGGAGAAGAAAAAGGTTTGATAAAAACACACCAGAGGAGAAAAGGAAGAGAGACAGGAGAAACAAGCGGCAAAAAGAGTTTGAGTAAATGGACAAAGAGGGAGAAGGTAAGAGAGGAACACCAGTGAAGAAGAGAGAAAAACAAAAAAATAAAAAGAAGAAGTATACGAAAAAGGAAGTAGAAGAAAGAAGGAGCAGAAAAAACGAGATGAAAAAAATTTAAAACACAAGACACAAAAAAAGGAATACCAGGGCAAGAACAATACAAGGAGGTAAGAGAGGAGTACAAGAAACAACAACAAGAGAAGAAAAAGAAGGAGGCAAAGAGGAAAGAAAATTAAGCAAGAGAAAGGGATAAAAGACAAGAAGAAAATGTCAGAAGGAAAAAGACTAGAGAAAGGACAGAGAGAGACAAAGAAAACGCTGGAAAAAGATCTAAGGATAAACACAAAGAAGAATTCATTTGTAGAATTAGTCATAATAAAATTAAATCAGTAACTAACAAGTAATAATTACTACTTCACTCTGAATGTAAAAATGAAATGAAACGTTTGCTGTCTCTATATTTAATAGACAGGACTGCCAATAAAAAATTAAGTATTAGTTTATTTTCAAAATACATTTCTTGAATAAATTTAAAGAAGATCAGCCTTATCATATTATTAAGAGAACTTTTTTTCATGAAGCAAACATAAAAAAGATTTTAAACCACTGAGAAAATCTTATTTCCATTATTTTTTTAATTTGTCACGATTTCACTAAAATTATGTAAAAAAATTACTCATTTTTCAATTCAGTGAGATGTTGTAACACATTGCCCCTACATTTTCCCACCATAGAAAGTTTGTATTTTTTCAGTTCCAATTCTATAACTTGTCGTTTAATATTTCTCAGTACATATTCTTGCGAATCATGTTCTCGTTCACCAGGTACAGCAGTCAATACAGTGTCTTCAAAGGATGTTGTTTCAGAAATAGTACTCAAGGTACTTAAACTTGAAGTACTTTCAGAGAGTATTCATTATTATCATGCTCATTTTATACGAAACCGAGCCAGAGAAATGTGTTCTGCTGCATCAGCCATCTTTATTCTTTTTTTTCATTTTACCACATTGTTTTAATGGATTTGATACACTGAGGTATGCTAGTTTTATTAATTTTTTTTTTCTGAATTTGATATTTTCAGTGTTTTACATTGCTTTGTAATTTTGTTTTATATTTCAAATTCTTTCCTATTAAATTGGTTATATATTGTCTGTTAGTCATTTTTAGAATTGAATTAGTTCCATTTCCTTTACAGTGTTTTGGAGAAGGAAATATGAAATTGACAAATCAGCATTTTCCAAAACACATTTCCCATTATGATATCTAAAATTTTTGTCCCTTCAAAAACATTCCAATGAGTTAACTGAAACTGTTTTGTACAGCAACTAAAGGTGAATTAATCTTACTTTAATGAATTATACCTGTAGATGAATCTTGATCAATCTGTGGAGTCCCAAGCGAAACAGACGAGAATGTGTCAACACGCTCCATGACCCATGAATTTTCGTTTCCACAGGGGCATCCTTTGCTCTTATTTTAAAAAAAAAAAATTTACAAAATGGTTAACAAGATGATTACAGAGGAAAGAAAATTATGTACCTTTTTTAGTTTCAATATTGACAATAGACTTCCATGTCACATTATTAAATTACAGGATTTAAATGTTTTTGTTTGTTCTCTTATACAAAATTTTAATTCTATGAAACTAAATACCAAAAAACTCCATTTTCACTGAAGCCATTTCAAGATTAAAAACAGAGTCCTCAATATCAGTTCAAAGAGACAATCACGAATAAACAGGATACGTACCCCATCATCGCATGCCATAACAATCAGATTACAAAAGAAAATGTAGTTTCCATTATGACTAATGAAAATTAGAATTAGAAAAAAACTGTGAATCATTTTATTATTCATTCATGGTTCATCTTTTTTCACCCTCTATATATAAACAAAATGCGCTTTTCATGGATATTTTAACAAATAAATGCCTCTTTTCATACCTATTTAGAACTATTTTAGGTAAAATAAATGCCAGAATATCGAGGCTTTATTAATTAATGTCAATATTTCATGGTGCATATGTTAGAAAAAAAACATAAAACCAAATTGGGGGGGAACTTTTTTAAAAAACTGATTTTTAAAACTTTTAAAAAAGGGCACCCGGTTTTTTCATACATAAAACATATGAAAGCATAAAGTAGATGTAATTGACAGAGAAAACATCTAATAGCAATACTTTCATGGTTTAAAACACTGTTATGAGAAGACAATAAATTACCTTCATGCAGCTTATTACGAATCTTGAAAGCTAAATTTTATTATTTTCATGAAATCATTGATTTTTTAACATTCTGCTTATCTAATTTGTTATTGCTACATACTGTTAACAATGTCTATAACATTTTTTCTTAGTGTCATTAATCTAATATACTTAAGGACCACCAAATTCTGTAAAAACAACCCAGCTTATAGGTCAGGTGTTTAAATAGAATCACAAAAAAAATTTTTAAAAAACAAACAAGAACTCAAATTTCATATCACAATTTCAAGAGATATACACCCTTAGTTTACAATTTTTGTTTTATGTACTGTTCTCATATTGATCTCTATGTACATCTTGATTTTTAATTCTCCTTGCGTTTTTCACATCCTATTTTGCAGGCATATCACATCATTATCTTTCCATTTATTTGACATTCCATTCTCTATATCAACTTCTGTAAGAA